ATAATAAATTGGATTTTTGATATTTTAATGATATTAATGATTTGATAACTGGCTTTAAGCTTTAGCTCGGTTAAGAATGCACTTCAAAAATGTTATAATAGTCCAACATTGCCAGAAAATACTTTACATTCAAGTAGAGCAGTAAGTGAAAGTTGTGCTTTGCACGCACCAGATTTTTTATTTTACAATCTTATTCATATTAAATTTATAATTTAAGAATTATAAATTGTCAAATTTATAGAAGACATTTGTCAAATTTTCCGCAAACATTAACTAAGTAAGAACCTCAAAATTTGTCACTTAATAAACAAATTCTAATCATAGAAACTGTAGAAGAAAATATTTAAAAAATCAATAATGAAATAGGAAAATTTATATCTCAAAAATTTTACTCCGTAATAGAAAAAATACAGGTTACACTCTTATGAAAAAATTTAACGACTGCATTAATGATATAAACGTTAACGTTGACAAAGAATGAGTAGTAGTTTCTTGTTACAGATTGAGTCCCCTTACAACAGTTCATGGTGAATGCTCTTTTTCTTAATTAAAAGACGTACGTATAGTTGAACACTCTTTTTCTCAATTAAAAGACGTATGATGTATTAAGTAGTAGGAGAAATAGTTTTGCAGAAACAAATTTCGAAATGTATAACATTGTATATTTCAGCTCTACTAAATTTTCATTATAATGCGGACAATTACTTTAAATACATAAACTGTTAATTTTAGATATTTATGAAAAACCTGTGTAAACTATCCAACCATCTCTTTTCCGGGCAACCTCCTCCTCTTCCTCCTTTCCAATGGTTAACATGAGGCTATAACATCAAGGGGACTCCGGAAGGAAAACTTTTATGATAAAAAGAAATGGCCGCAGGGATTACGTTATGACATATGACCTTAAAGTGTTGTAAATAAAGTTGTTTATGTATATATGAAATACAAATGTAATAATTACTCTATGTTTGATTCATCACTTTTTGAATTTGTTTCCTTTTAAACATTATTGAGTAATTAGAGAAAGTGAATAGAGTGATTTCATTTTCATTATTAACTTAATGGTATCACTTGAAATTTTCACATTGATTGAAAAATACAAATGAATGACAGATAAATTATTTTGTAAAGAATGAGGAAAATTGTATTAAGAATTAATATAAATTAAACATAAGAAAAAAGTACTAAGTGATAACACACTAATTTAAGAAGGTATAAATGAGGAAAATGGCATTAAATACTAAGTGATAACACACTAATTTAAGAGTAAAATCATTGAAAATAAATAAAATTTGGCCATGGAGATAATAAAAACTCTTTGACGATCACTTTTATAGTATCTTCTTTTCTTAGTTATTAAATATCCTTTTCATTTTCATTCATTTTATTTTTTAAACTAGGAAGTTCCTCTTGAGAAAATCTGTAGAAAAACAATATAGTTCAGTGATTCTAAAATTTTTGAGAGATGATAAATATGGTTAATTCTATTTGAAGGATGAACAATTAACAACAACAGCCTGGATATAACAATAAAGTAATGAATCTTTGAGAATAAAAAAAAATTAATTCTCATATTCTACAAGGCACTTTAATTCAATGAGCTCATTTTCCTCATAGTCAGATACGATACAATGAAACATGATAACCCTAGTGTCATGAGTAATTGATGCAATACACATCTTTAATATAAATAATACTTTTTATCAAATACCTTCATGGGAGAGAATAGAAATACATAATTTTCTTAATTGACTTTCCTTTTCTCCCTAACATTTAACATAGAAAGAAAAAATTTATATATATACTTAAACTTCAGTTTTTAAAAGAAAAAAAAAATAACTATCTAATAAAATATTGTTTAAAAGAAATATTTGCTAACGTCTTGAACAGATTAAATGCTATTTATTAAAGTATTCCTTGAATTGAATTGTGAGCTCCTACAATCTTTAACAGGAAAATACCATTGACTATCTTTGTTATAGTAACAATAATAAACAAGTCCATTGGAATACCTTGTTAAAAAGGAATTACTGCTATATGCTCTTTGGAACTCCCAAGTCTTACAGTCAAGTCTAATAGAGCAGATTAGATCCATCCACACAGCAGATAGTACCATCCATGAGATCAAATCAAAGGATTGTGTACAGTATGTATTTAATCAATTCCAATAACTTTATGAATCATTAAGTCCAATTAGAACATACAAAAAAAAATTATAATTTAATTAAAGATATCACTAGTTTCGTGAGCATCATAACCAAATTAATTAAGTATTTAGACAATCTGAATTTACAATGTGCGACCTCACAATTTACAAAGTTCCAGTCGGATTTGATGTTATGGACTAAATTTCCAACAATATATACAGAAAATCATGATTTTCTTCCAACAAATTAAAAAAAAAAATTAAAGGACTATTTTAATGTAATTTGTTTAATAAAAACTAGCATATTTTAGGTGATTTAATTTAATATTGAACTATATTTCAGATATATATTTGAAGTAATAATATACTTTGAAAAAGGAATTCCAAATTATATCAGACTTTATTAATATCAAATCATTATAGTTCAGATATTAATTATTTAATTGAAATTCTTACACCAGATTTGAAAAGGTGGAATAAGAAATTTGAATCCAAGATATCGGACTACTATACAGCTAGAATTTAAAGTTGAGCACTAATCTGAACCAACATCAAGAATACGAGACCACATCCAAGAGTAATCAGCATGCATATTCATATTCTCCTTTTTACTTTTCTACCTATACTAGATAAGGAAAGTATTGCGATCAGGTCAAATTTTCAATATGCGGTTTTCGATGGATCTATACATTTCAAAGCCACCTGAGTCCGAAAAACACATTTTTAGGCATTGGTCTGCCTGTCTGTCTGTCCCAAGATTTTCTCAGGAACTAGTGAACTGATTTTGTTGCTTCTTTTTTTCTTTTGTAGGGTTTTGACTACTGATGCCTGTGACACAAATTGGATACTCTATGCGCAATAGCTGCTGCACAATAAATGAATAACATGTTTTTCTGTAGACTATAGTGCGAAAATGGCTTTAACGATTTTGATGAAACTTTCCTATAATGTTCTAATAATTGTCCTTTCAATTTTCTTATATGGACCAAATTATCGAAAAAAAAGTTATAAAGAAAAGAAAAATGTTTTGCGGCATAACTCACTAAGTATATATTCTATGGTAAAATTTATAATAAAACTTTTGAAAGGTAATTAAATTACCAACAAAACAAAAAAAATCACCGGAATCAAGCTAGTATTAGCGATGATACAGCATATTCTATTTTCTACACATGTTTTAATTTATTACTTTCCTACCTATACTAGGTAAGGAAAGTATTGTGATAGGATCAAATTTCCGATATGCGGTTTTCGACTGATCTATATGTTTCAGAGCCCCCTTAGTACAAAGAACACCATTTAGCCTGTTTTTTTTTTAAAGGTAATGAAATTCCCTACAAAACTATATAAACATCGTTCATTTCAGACAACTATTAACAAAGTTACAGCTATTCAATTTCCAATGTAAGATTAGGGGTACAAATCCTAGCCTAGTATCAGAAAGGGGTGAATGAGAGAAAAAAGATAACAGTAAGAAAATCTGTAGACCGCATCATAAAAGCTTCACTATTTCCTGTACTTTTAACAGAAGTTATTGTTTGGCAAAATTAGGCTATGGCAAAAAGTTTTTGATCAGAAATATTAGACAGTATTGTAATTTTTACACTGACCTTAGTTTATCAAATAAATTGTACTCAAATCTTTTCTTTGATCAATTTTCAGGAAAATAAATCTAATTGAATTTTTTTTGTTTCTTCATGAGCATATATAAAGATATAAAAACTTTTCTGAAATAGGTGGAAAGTCGTGTGAGTGGACATACCACATTTTTTAGTACATAAGCAGAATTTTCTACAAATTATTAGTTACATGTAGCATCTTAATACAACGCACATGCAACATATAATCATCACAAAAAGACATATTTTGGACGGAACAGTAATAATTATATCAAAATTGCACAACATATTTGTATCCTTAATAATTGTGGATTGATGGTTGACTGTCATGAATAATTGAAAAGAAGAATGGTTTGGGTTATCAGTAAAAAAAAAAAAATTGTAAAAATAAATTATATTTATCTGGAGTAAATGAATGAATGAATGAAAATAATTTTATTATTCTGGGACTAGTGACCCTTTAGAAAAACTTACAAATACAGAATATACATTAATATTCTGGTGTGTATTATTCATAAGTATCCTATGGGAGATGTTTATTTAACTGATGTATATGAATAAAATTAAGTAAAAGTTTACTCTCCCAACAAATATTTTCTTTATTTTTATGATGTTTCGGAATCAGTTTATTATCACATCTTCAGACCGTATCTCATCCTTCTTTCATCTATTTATTTAAAAAGAAAGATTTGTCATAATTTTATTTTTATAAATCACCCGTTAGTTATATTGTGGAATACTCTAGTAGAATAATGTCTGACTAGGCTCTCTCCAGAGGAGTCCACAATATAATTAAGGGATGATTCCTAAAAATAAAATTATGACAAATCTTTTTTTTTTTTTTAAATAGATGAAAAAAGAATGAGATATGGTTGGAATATAAGATAATAAACTGATCCCGAAACATCATAAAAATAAAGAAAAAATTTGTTGGGAGAGTAAACTGTTACTTAATTTTATTCATATACCTCAGATAAATAAACATCTCCCATAAAAATTATGAATAATTATATTATTTTTTTTTTTTAACTGACCACCCCAACCACTGTTCTTTTCAAATAGATCCTTAATAAGAATTTAAGAGAAAGTAATTTATACTATAAATGAGTAAATATCTTCAGTAAGGATAACCCATAGATTTCTATGGGCAGCAACAAATGATATCCATAGTTTTATAAAACTTTAAATAATCTAAATACGATAACAGTTTCACTTGTATCAAATTGATAACTTACTCGGGTGTTCAACTTTTATATAATGGTAGGGGTTGACACAAACTTCGTCTCTTTTATGACCGAATCCGTAAATGCAGGTTTCAATAGGTGCTATTTCTTGATGAGAATGTAAATTAGGCCACCTCCATAAGCGACAGTATATCACATGAGGAAGTCCTTTTCGTTGAGTAACCACTGGACCTCTACAGTAAAAATTTAACTAAATATACAATCCACAATAGATAATAAATTTATCATAATTCTACATAGCAATAACTAATTGCAAAGTATTAACATACTAATTATACATACCTACAGTTCGTTAAGTCACCTTTTTCTGGTCTTAAGCTGTAACACAAGTTCACTTCATTAGTTGAGCTTTAAATCTTCTATACTAAACTTTTTTCTCTCTATCCCCTAATGATGTAATGGTTTTCATATTTAAAACCTAAAACATCCAACCTATAGGCGTAAAACCGAGTATAAATAAAAACTATTTGAAATTTTAAACTTCTCGGATGAAGGATCTAGGGAATAATTGGAGATAAAAAGAATCTAATAATTAGGTACGTTGATAATGGAGCTTTATAATGCCAACAGCTTAAACTAAAAATAAAAGTAACTGAAATAAGTAAAAAGCTAAACATAATGCAAAGGGAGAAACTAACCTTAACTGCATTAGATACTAGAAAGTAAGCTATAACAAAAAGTTTGAGCTAAACTAATGAATTAAAAAGAAAGAGAAAAGAAAAACTAGATTGAAAAAAAAAACATTCTTAAATTGTCAAATACATTGAGTGAGGGCATGGATGATTTTCTCCCACCTCACCTTGGTACAACTATGCACTTGGTATTTGGATCCTGGGTTGTAACAGCTTTTTCTAATTCTTCTAGGCCATTCGTCTTTTTTAATTTTTTAACAAGACTTTTAACAGCTCTTTCACTCCACTTATCTTCACATTGACTCTTTTTCCAGCCCAATAGACGTTTCACTATAGGCGGGGTAAAAGGTAACATAGAAGACATTATATGTAACTTATCTACATTAAGAAAATAATAAAAACCATGTTAAAGTAATTATTTATCAATGTATAGTTGTTTTAGGAAGTTCTTGAATAATTATTTAATTCTAGAACGACCAATATCAGAACAAAACACTACTGACACGAACGAACAACGCACGACGATTCATCCGCAAAATTAGTATCATTAACAAAGTAGTCCCCACTTTTCTTCATAATGGAAGAAGTTTTTATCTTTTTCTTTTGTTTCAATTATTAATTTTGTTATAGCCTGGTATGATAATTTTGCTTGTTATTCACTAAGGTTTTGTTATATTTCATTTCGTTCGATTTTCTCTGGACAAAATAAAATTTGCTTCTAAATGAATATGTACAGTTAGTCATTATTCTTTACAGAGAGAGTAAAGATTTTAAGAATTTTTGTAATAATCATTTAAATCGCCCACTTTCAATTTTTTTATCAATAAAATAATATTAAATAATACAATTTAATTATAAAAAGCGTTTGGCCTCAAACAAAGAGTAACAAATTCATGATTTATCATCTACATATTCTCTCAATACTTGAATTATTTTAACACACTTTTTTTTTTTACATTAGATTATCTCAACTCTTGACATTTATTTACGAAAAATGATTAAATAAAAACGTTATTACTCTCTTCATGAGTTTTCTTTTCACAAGTTTTGTATATATTCTTAATTTTATAGTTCTCTTAACAAATGCCCAAATATTTTAAATCTGTTTGATACCTGAAGATTATTGAGATACACAAATACTCCTGAACTCAATAAGATCACGTAAACGTGATTTATTCATTTGTATTGGTTCCATTAATGTATTTATGTTTTCTTGTACATTTATTTCTACTCAATTACCAATTACAATTTAAACTGTTGAAGAATGTTGGTGAAATGAATCAAATGTAAATATTCTGAATTATTTTAAAGTATATTTTCTTGAATATTGCAAAATATAATATCATTCTCAGTTATATCAAAGATCGTGCTGTAATAAACACAATCTTCCATCCAATATTCATTCTTATCCTGTGTTTTATCATCTTTAAGATGTGTTTAGAAATTCCACGAACTATAGGGAAACACAATATCTTAACTAACAGCGGCATTATTGCTAGGCCAAACTATTTATTTTATTTCTCTTGATGCCGACAGCAGATGGAAAATTTCAAAAACAAGAAACAAAAATACTAGCATAGTGAAATAACCATATCTATATTTGTTTGTCCCATAATTTGCGAAATGTCTAAATAGGTCTTTAAATATTAAAATAAAAATATCAACAGTGGAACTAGAAAACCTTCTAAGCCCATAAAGCTCACAAGCCTGTTAATGGTGACCAACTCATTCTTTTATTCTAATATACAGGTGGATTGGATCTATGAGTTCAATATAAAACTGTTTTATTCAAGTCAACGTTTCGACCCAATTATGCAGTTCTTTATCAGAGCTAAAACGATTACATTTATCATATTCATAATTACGTCTATCATTCATCCTACATTAATTGCTGACAAGTTTTATTTACTTTATTCTAGTTTCTGGTTAATTTGTTTTCTATAAGAATGTTCTTAATACATTCCATTTCCTCTGTTTATAATTTTTATCTAAATATCTTTTAACTCTTACAATTTTCTATAGCCTTTGTATCGTTTTCATTCATAACCTGATGAAGACGATCGGCAGAAACGTTGGTCTGAAAACAATTATTTTATTTTGTGCCACGTTTCAGCCTATGTTTTAAGCTTCTCCAGGGTTGGAGAAAGACGAGATAACAACCAACAATAAAATATTACGAACATATTATAAAAATATATTAAAACTAAAATTATATGTTATCTGTTATATGTAATTTAATATCTATTATTAATTGAATTAGTATTAATAATTATTATTTAATTTAGTAACTTAGTATCTGATAATATTAGAAGCAGATGACATTTGTTTGTCAGCCGAAACGTCGGAACAAAATACAATTTTTATTGAATGAAGTTAGTGGACTGTTCTACATATCATGGGTGATAAATAGTCCGACGCAGTCGTTTTAAAGATGTTTATTGGTGCCGACGTTTGTCTGATTGTATTAAACAATTTTCAGCCCAGATGATGACCCACATGATTGGGTTGGAACGTGGGCACCAATAAAAATTTTTAAAATGGCTTCGTCCTGACTATTTATCACCCATAATGTTTATTTTTTTCCCGCAGGGGCAAGCTGAAGTGCGCTGCTAATGGAGATTGTCGATCCTCCGGGTACCCGAGTTCAGTACACCGCACTAATAAGGGGACCCTACACGGTCAATCGGAATTGCACTAATGACGTTCCGAATTGTCGTGTAAGGTAGTGAATGAAGTACTGATGGTGGTGCGCTGCGGATTTCCGAACATCCGGAAATCAAAGGTTCATTCACGAGAAGTGGAGGGGGGGCTGAGGTAAAAGTAGTGGGGGGGCTAACCATACTGCTGGATTGGTTAGGTTAGCTAGGCCTCAAAACCATTATACATTTCTGATTTTCATTATATGTAAATAGTTAAATAATTTTTCATATCCCTTGTTTATAATTTTAAACCATCTTCAACTATTTCTTTTAAATAGTCAAGTAGGCAACAAAATAAAAAAAAAATGAGGAAACTTCACAATTTACTTTAGGAAAAAAAAAAAACTTTAACATTGTTTATATTTATCAGTTCTTTTCCCATTTTCCTCAATAAATTTATTATTTTCGCAATACCTTTTCTTATATTTTACTAACTTTTGTCAAAACGATTTTCTATGAGACTAACCTTCTATGAGACTACAGATAGGTTAGTTTACCTAGGTCTCGTTATTAAGTAAATAGTTGTTTATATCCCTAGTCTATATTATTATTAACCATTTTCAGCTATTTTTTCTTTAAATAGTCAAGTAGGCAATAAATTGAAGAGAAAAAAAAGTGGAAACTTCACAATTCACTTATAGAAAAAAAATCTTTAACTGTTGTGTTTATTTGCCATTAATTTTTCCATTTTTCTTAAAAAATTGATTATTTTCGCAATACTTTTCCTAGATTTTTGTATGTAGTTGACTTATATTTCTCTAACTTTGGTCTAAACGATTTTCAGGCACTATGAAGTAATTATTATATCTCCGTTTTTCTCTTGATGCCCAATATTATAAATGACAATGTCCAAATAAGCATATCTATGCTGTTTCTTTGTTTGCAACTGAGCTAAATTGGTATCAGCAACGATAAGTAATGATCAGTAATGATTGAACGCGTAAGGGTCTTCATGATCAAAGCGATCGCGGGCAATCTTGGCACTTCTTGTGACGTTCATTCATGAATTACCGTGTAGGGTCTGCTATAATACACTCACAGAACAGTACACTACTCACACTGACACAAGGTCACCTCATTACTCACCCTAGGGTCACCTCACCTAGGAAGCCGCCTCAGATGAGAGAGTAAGTCAGGAGGTTTTAAGGAGGCAGCCAAACTCCACCTGACTAGGGGGCAGTGGGCTGATAACCCACCCCTTTTCAATCACTCATCTTACAAACAAAAAATAAAAAAAAAGCCTCACACTGCATAAGCGGTAAAGAGGATTAGATTATAAGGAATTTTTATTTGTGTATTTCACTGTGACTACTACCCCCAACTAACTTCTCAACCGTAATTGTACCTAAAGACGTAATATGATTTATTTTACCTTTGATTGTTTAATTAAGTATCCGTAATGACATCGTTTAAAGCATGTTTGATTCAATGAATGAATGAGGTAAAACTTTTAGCACTGAAGTCGATTCGATGTTAGAACAAGGCATTTTTACTTCTTTGGATCTAGACGAAGAAGGGAGTTGCTACCTGCCAACACTTTTTGAAGAGCTAATGAACGATACAGTAAAATGTTTTGATTAAGAATTACAAAATGGCTTCCATCCACTTAAGCAGCTGATTTCAGCTAATTAGAACTATATTTGAAAAATCTGGTGCGCGCATCACACAGCTTTCACTTACCGCTCTACTTTGACTGGAAATTATTATTTCTAGCAATATTGGGCTATTACAAAATGTTTTAACTGCATTTTAAACTGAGCTAAATCTTAAAGCTTATCGATAACAGATCTTTAAGACCATTAAAATAACAAATACTATTTATTATATCGATTATAGACAATAAAAATCTCGTAACTCCAGTCTTTGAGCTCTGTAGTCTAGAGATTTGAAAGTACATCTGTAGATTTAATCTATCAATGATTATGGGTTGTACGACTATAAGTTATTAAATTCTTACTTTCCGATGTAAAGTTTACTAAAATGGAGTAACGAGATTATCATTGCCTGTCTTAAGGGCCCCTTACACGTTCAATATTATAGAGTCAATGTCGAGTTTCGTCAATATATTGGCCGTGTAACGGCTACATTGACATAAATTATATTGACATCATCCAAACTGGTTAATATAATTTTTTAATTTATTTTTTATTACGGCTACAATTAGTACCCGTCAGGGACCTTGTAATAAACCAAGTTACTAAATATCGGTATAGGTTTCAACCGAAAATTCAATAGGTGCCAGGCCATCATGTCCATGGCACGGCACTTTTTCGAGCTTTATATCTCAGGTCCTTGACGGCACGGGCGGATCTACGGGAGAGGGAGGGGGGGAGGGAGGGGGGTAGGGGCTTTCGGGCTGAAGCCTCCCCCAAAATGGAAAAATATAACCATGTTTTATGGGAAAAAATTTTTAAAAATACCTCTTAAAGTATTATTGTTCGTGTAATTACATTTAAAAGTACTTAAGGAATAACTTAAACACTATTTCATATAGGTAGTTAGTTTCTTTCTGTTTTTCCAAAGTAATTATCGTTATTTTTATGAAAAAAAAAGGTTTCAGGCTGAAGCCCCCCCAAAAATAAATCCTGGATCCGCTAGTGCTTGACGGGTACTAATTATAATTTTTGGGGTACAAATTAGTACATATTAGGTACTAAATATTGGC